AATAAATAAATAGTGCTAGAGGGGCGCCTGGGTGGCTCCGTCGGTTAAGTGTCGGACTTCAGCTCAGGTCATGATCTCACCGCTCGTGAGTGAGTTCAAGCCCCACGTCAGGCTCTGTGCTGACAGCTCAGAGCTTGGAGCCTGCTTTGGATTCTGTGACTCCCTCTCTCTCTCTCTCTCTGTCCCTCCCCTCCTCATGCTCAGCCTCTCTCTGTCTCTCAAAAAATGAATAAACGTTAAAAAAAATAAAAAAAAAATAGTGCTAGATATGGAAACAATACGTGTTAACCCTTACCTCACACCACATACAAAACACTAATTCAAAATGAATCATGGGCCAAAATAGAAAAGATAGGACAATATAAAACTTCTAGAAGAAAACAATGACTTCTTTTATGGCCTTGAGGTGGAGAGAAATTCCTTAAACAGGGCACAAAAAATATTAACCATAAAACTAAAATATCAATAAACTATAAATTTTATTAAAATGAAAAGCTTCCGTTTACCAAAACATCACTAATAAGAGAGTGAGAGTACATTCTCACCTGGCCAAACATTTGCATCACACACATCCGACAAGACCACTTACATCAGGCCGCGTAAAGAACCACGAATAAACAAGAAAAGAGAAAAATAATCCAATTTTATTTTTTTTATTTATTTATTTTTTAAATAATCCAATTTTAAAATACGCATGAGACCTGAGTGGCCATTTCCAGAGAAGGTGACACCCGAAGGACTAACAGACATACACACCATGTTCAACAACAGAATGGGAATTACAGCCACAACCAAGTCCTACTGCACGCGGACAAGAACGGCGCGCGCAGGCCAGGTGACATCCCGGCCGTGGGCCAGCACAGGCTGTAACCGCAACTCTTGTGTCTCGCCGACAGGATTCTCAGCCGGAAAACTGCAGTATCTCCTACGACCAGCTAAAGCCAAATGCGTGCCCGCCCGCTGACCAGAGGCCCCGCTCCAGGTGAGGGGAGTGTGTGCGTATAAATCCATCAGAGACACAGGTACGAGAACGTTCACAGCAACTTTATTCCCGACAGCAAGAAAGTCAGAAAAGCCCAGTGTCCACGTGTCTACCAGTAGACTAGGGAACCAATCGCACGTTCGCCAGGTAAGACGCTACCCGGCGATGAGAACGGACTCATGGACGCGACCGGCGACACGGATCAACCTCACGGTCGTCAGGTTGAACAGAGTAAGCCAGACACAGAAGGCAGCATTCTGTATGATTTCACCGATGCCACAACGAGGACGAGGCAGACCCAATCAGCAGTCATTCTCGAAGTAGTGGTTACTCCTGTGGGGGCTGGGGCTGGGCAAGAAGCTTCTGGGATGTCTGCAATATCTAACCTCGATCTGGGTGGGGCTCCCACGGATGTACTGCTCCGTAAAGATTCACTGAGCTGTACACTTAAGTCTGGTGTGCTTTGTGACTATGTGTGTTTCCGTAAAGGTATTTTAGAAAGAAAAATGCGATATATGACAGGCTTCAAAGACAACTATCTGGAAATAATTCCGAGAAGTGAACTGCCATGTAACCGCCACGGGAAGCCTCCCGGGTGCCCTGCTGCAGACACCGCCCGCCACTCCCCCAAAGGCGACCC